CAATAATGAATATTGAAAATCAGGAAATATTCTGTAATATTGGTACACTACAGTGTTTTCTTTTAGATGTGACGTAGTTCATTGGCACAAAATAATGTGAAATAAAAGCTTGCTTGGATATAAAAGCAGGAGCTGTATTTAGTTGACCCTGGTGTCACCTCTCATGCTTTCATTCACAGAAGTGCCACCAACAGAGTCGACTGAATTCCCAGGAATTTGCCCTGATGACCCAGAAGCAATGAGATTCTCAAGGGAGCGTTCAAGATGGCTGTCATTTAGGAGTTATTGTTACCTGTTTATGGTAGAAAGGGCCACCTGGCCAGATGCATCAGCAAACTGTATAAGACATGGTGAGGATCTGCAAATGATCTCATAAATTCTCAGTCACTCAATTGTGTTTAGATTTAACTAACAGCCTGCTATTTCTCTGTTTGTTTGTTTGTGTGTGAAGGTGGAAATCTTGCTAGCATTGAAGATCCTGCAGAGCAAACATTCATCACAACCAATCTACAACTATTTAGAGATATTCAAAGTGCTTTCTGGGTCGGCCTTTATAAAACTCACAGAGGTACTGTCGCATTTTCTGCTCTTTCATGAAAAAAAAATAAAATACAGATAAACTGCAGTAACATAAATGAGGAGAACAAACTTTGTTGAACAGAACCTCTGAAACAGTTAAATATAGTTTAATTATCGTTTTACTGCTGAACAGAGAACTGAAACAGACTACACTTGGCAAACAACAAATGGAAAAAAATATAGCTGCACTGTGAGGAATGAACACCTTGCTCGACAGGTTTTAGTTTACTGTAACTGGCTGTTATTGTCTGATTTCACCAACACGGCTTTCTATCCATCCATTATCTATACACCGCTTTATCCTCACGAGGGTCGCGGGGAGCTGGAGTCTATCCCAGCTGACTCAGGGTGAAGGCAGGGGACACCCTGGACAGGTCACCAGTCTATCACAGGGCTACACTTAGAGACAGACAACCAAGCACACTCACATTCACACCTACGGACAATTTAGAATCACCAATTAACCTCAACATGTTTTTGGACTGTGTGGGAGGAAGCCAGAGAACCTGGAAAGAACCCACGCTGCACGGGAAGAACATGCAAACTCCACGCAGAAAGATTCCGGTGCCCCCACCGGGACGGAACCGGCAACCTTCTTGCTGCGAGACAACAGTGCTACCAACTGCTCCACCTTGCACAACACGGCTTTAATCAGCCTTTTTTTTTCTCCAGCTGCAGCACACAGCTGGAAAACATAGCGGAACATTAAGTAGTTACAGAATAATGTATTTCCCTCAGTTTGGTTAAGAGTTGCATTCAGCAGAGATACATCTACAAATACTAATGTTGCTCAGTGTGTGATGTTCAGTTACTATTTGCTAACACATTGTAAGTGGCTTTCCATTATCACTTACTACTGGTGCATGCCGTTGCCAGGCTTGTCTCACTCAGCAAGTTGATAATTGTTTGTTTGGTACAAAAAAGAAAGTGTGGAGAAATTGAAAAAATTTTTCTCTTATTTGTTCCAAGGCATGTGGAAGTGGTTGGATAAAACAGCCATGGACTACAATAACTGGAGGGATGAGGACAGTAACTCTGGAACCTATGGACAAGTTCGAATTTTAGATGGGGATTGGTCACCAAACAGGGGGTCACAACGCTGTGGATATATTTGTAAAACACCCAAAAGTAAGAGAAGAAGCATGAATTAACTGAAATTTTATAAGAACTGCAAAGTGTAACACAGACATTGCTGAAACTCACGAATGAATCGAAAATACATTAGTAAATGGATTGGGAGATATTTAGTGTAAAGTGACACTGTGATGACGCAGAAATAGAAAGTCCTTTCAAAAAATAATTTCATGTTGTTGTTTTTTTTCTCTCTCTGTCTAGTATTAAAGAAAACAATACCAACAACTGGTAAGTTACATCCCTTCATCATTTTCACATTTGGCTACTAAGCATAATTCAGGTCTTGACACTCTTCATCTGTGTTAAATCTATACAGCAAGTCCTCCACAGCCTGCGTCTAAAAGCCACAGCCACGTCGTTTTGGAAGTCTTGCTGGGCATTACTCTGGTTGCCATAGGAATAGTCGTCGTCTTCTTTCTCCTCAAGAAGTATGGCGTCCGTCTGTCTCTCCCTGAGAAGTTAACAACCTTTGACAACCCTCTGTTCTTCAGCAACGACCAGTCCCAGGCTAGTGCGGTGGACACCAATCAACTGGTAGCAAACGCAGAGGAGTAGAAGTCTGGGCCTGTTGAAAGTGTTTCCTGAGAACACCAGCAGAATTTAATGAGGTTGCTTCGAAGTGAGAGAATTTTCAGTCCAGCTGGCAATAAGTGTGTCAATGAAATATTTAAGCTGTAGGAAGTCTTATTTGACATGCAAATGGCTTTTAATTTGCCTATTTTTGAACAACTAAGGATTTACAGAATGACTGAATGTACAAGTAATCATTTTAATCCATAGCTTATTACTGTCTTGCCTATAGGTCAGTGCTGTGAAATGTTGTATTTGCTACATATTGCTTTTTTTGTGTAAAAATGAGTTCAGTTTTAAAAATGAAAAGTTGTGAAGTGTAACTTTAAACAAGACAACCAATGTAACATAACGCTGAGTATTCACTAACCTTGCCTAGCATGGCATTTTACTTACTTGTGTGTGTGTACAGTCCACCATTTCTCTGACAAAAAATCTGTTTATTGTTCACTACATTTATCTGCTGATTGTGAATGCTGTCTAATTGTAATGATTTTTACAGGAAAAGTTAACATTAAACATGAATTAACCTGTTGAACTTGTGATACACTTTGTAAGAGAAAGCTATGTTTAGAGAGAAGCAAAGAAATAATACCTAATCACAGGGACATGTAAATCTATCCCGAAAGGTTTTACACGATACATTATATGTACATTTCAAGTCCAGGCATTCAACTGGATAACTTAATAGTAAAAAAATCTTCAGATAATATGAGTTTGTCTTTGGACAATCCAATATCCATCCTCTTTTTAGTTCCAAATTGAAAACAGATGTATCTTTAGCCTGCAAACCATCTGCTTGCTGCATTCACCTGCTAGACTGATTACTTGATAGGGCTACAATTTACAATTTATTCTGTGAAAAGACAAACCTCAAAACAGCTTTCACCAACTCTGGACAATTGTTGTGACTGACGAGTTGCTGAAATTAAGTCTAAAAAATATGACACTTATAGTTCCAGTCAAAAGTTTGAACACACTTTCTCATTCAATGGTTTTTATTTATTTTAATATTTTCTACATCTTAATACTGAAGACATCAAAACTATGAAAGAACTCATACAGATTTATGTAGTGAAAAAAAAGTGTTAAACAAACCAGAATATAATTTAGATCTTAGATTCTTCAAAGTAGCCTCCTTTGACTTTGATGGCAGCTTTGAACACTCTTGGTGTTCTCTCAGTCAGCTTCATGAACTCGTCTCCTGGATGGTTTTCCAACAACAGTCTTAAGGACTTCCCAGAGGGGCTGAGCATTTGTTGGCTGCTTTTCCATCACTCTGTGGTCCAACTCATCCCAAACCATCTTAATTGGGTTTAGGTCGGGTGATTGTGGAGGCCAGGTCGTCTGATGCAGCACTCCAAATGATAGTCCAAGTAAGCGCCAACCAGATGGGAAGGCATGGTGCTGCAGAGTGCTGTGGTATCCATGCTGGTTAAGTGTGCCTTAAATTTAGAATAAATCACCAACAGTGTCACCAGCAAAACATCCACACACCATCACATCTCTTCCTCCATGCTTTACAGTGGGAACCACACATGCAGAAACCATCCACTCACCTTCTCTGTGTCTCACAAAGACACACCAGTTGGAACCACAAATCTCAAATGAACTTATCCTCTGCAGTAATTCTTGGTCTTCCTTTCCTGGGGTGCTACTCATGAGAGCCAGTTTCGTCATAGCATGTGATGGTTTTCGCGACTGCACTTGAGAATACAATCAAATTTCTTGAAATTTTCCAGATCAACTGACCTTCATGTCCTAAAGTAATGATGGATTGGTGTTTCTCTTTAGTAAGTCGAGTGGTTCCACCATGTTGGTTTGATGCCTTGACAGAACTGAAGGTAAAGCGTCTGTCAGGTGACCACCTAGTGGCGTGCTGGTGCATGCCTATCAAGCAGGCAATATTCTGCATTAAATTTAAAATTACGGTATTACTTCATGTTTATTAGAGCCAAGAATCTTTTTTTTTGAGCTTGAAGAACCATTGAGGGGCTGCACGGTGGAGCAGTGGTTCGCACTGTCGTCTCACAGCTAGAAGATCCCCGGTTCTCGTCCTGGTTAGGTCCCCCCCAATCTTTCTATGTGGAGTTTGCATGTTCTCCCCGTGCAGCGTGGGTTCTCTCTGCGTTCTCTGGCTTCCTCCCACACAGTCCAAAAACATGTTGAGGTTATGATTCGAAATTGTCCATAGGTGTGAATGTGAGTGTGCTTGGTTGTCTGTCTCTAAGTGTAGCCCTGTGATAGACTGGTGACCTGTCCAGGGTGTCCCCTCTTCATCCTAAGTCAGCTACTCCAACCCCCCCGCAACCCTCATGAGGATTAAGCGGTGTATAGATAATGGATGGATGGATGGAAAAAAAAACATTGAACGAGATAATATGTCCAAACTTTTGACTGGTACTGTATGTGCCTAACTGTATCTCCAACGTGGTTTCAAATACCCTCCATGCCCCAGGAAGCTACCTTCTGTTCTCTTGGAAAACTTTCACGGACTAATTCATTGGTGTGGACGGTAATAAGTGAGAGCAGTGCTGACATGTTTCAATAAAATGCCACTTCACACATTTTACATTTTAATGAATTTCAACAACAGAATGCATATTTGTCAAAATTAACTTCTGAATGCTGTACAAAACAAAGATAATGAAAACAAACCTTGAGAGGAACAGAGTCAATTCAGTCTTGGTAAATCAAAGCAATCATACACATTAAGTCAACGTCTACCAAACAGTGCAACAGGCTCTCTGGTTCTCCTTACATTTACCTAACAAGGCAATTATGAAGTATGTACAAATGCATAGAGATTGTATTCAAGCAAGATAATTTATCACAAGAAGATGCATAGAGTATCCAGCATATAGCACAGTTCAGTGTCACCAAGAGATTATTCATGCTTCCAGACAGAACAATTGCAAGTCAGTAAATATGAATGAACACCATTTTAAAAAGTAGGAAGCCGAGTAGGACCTCCATTTAGAATCATGTAGAAAAATAGTTTGACTTTCAGTACCAATGTTTAAAATAACTTGTTGGCTTCTGAGGATGCACGATTGAAATACACAGGGACAGAGGAAGATGTGACACTGAAATGCAACTCAGTGATATGATTAGACAAAACATCCCTTTGTGCAACTGTGTAGAACCTAAAATCACAAAATGCAAAAGCCATTTGTTGTAATACTGTTATTTTGTCCCTTTATCTCCAGAATATTGGTTAATTACTTCATTATGTTGGGAGAACAGAGATAAACTGCTTAGGGCTGCAACTAATAATTATCTTCTGTTATTGATTTATCTGCTAATTTATTTCTTGATTAATTAATTAATTAATTGTTAAGTGAATAAAATGTCAAAGATGCACATTTCCTAGAGGTCAAGGGGACATCTTAACATTTATCTTGTTTGGTCCACAGTCCACAATCCAAAGGTAAAGTGGTAAATCCTCACATTGTGGAAGCTGAAACTGAACAGTGTTTGGCATTTTAGTTGCTAATGTGACTATTTGATTGCTTAATTTGGTAGTCAATCAACCATTGAAGTCTATTTAAGAATATTCATTTTTGGGAGAAAAACAATTCTCCTTTTAACACATTGAAAAAATTTTCCATTATTGCACAATTTTATATATTGGAGACTTTTTTTATTTGTTTGTTTTGCCACTTTGTATTAGTGTAAACTGAATATCTGAATATTAGACTGTTTATTGACCAAGGAAAACATCACAGGATGTAATATTGGGCAACTGGCAGTTGTTGAAAGATATTTTTCACTATAATTTGACATTTTACAGACACATTATTACCAAGAGAGAAAAAAGGACAGTTTAACTGATAATGCAGCCTTTCTTTAGAACAGAACTGATGCAATTTAATCTTTAACATTGTTTGTATAAAAACACACACAGAGCCATAAGAATCAGGTGACAATAGGACGGACAAAAATGTATCCTACACGTGCTTAAATTCCTTTTGGTAAAGATTAAGAAAGAACAGGGTGTGTGCATGTGGCTCAAGGGTCTGATTTTTTAAAAAATGGCAAACAATATGAGGAGAAACATGACACACAGTGCCCCACCCATTAGTGCATTATAAAATGAGCAGCATAAAACCATGCACCAACCCCCCTGTAGAAACAACAGTCACTGGTGGATATAAGAATCTCTGTGCCACTGCCGGCCATCTCTGTCTCTACCTCGATCCCTATCTCTGTCCCTTTCCCTGTCCTTGTGTCTTTCTCTGTCTCTTTCTTTGTCTCTCTCTCTGTCTCTTTCTCTGTCTCTATCTCTGTCTCTCTCTCGTTCTCTTTCTCTTTCTCTTTCTCTATCTCTATCTCTATCTCTTTCTCTATCTCTGTCTCTGTCTCTATCTCTATCTCTGTCTCTGTCTCTGTCTCTGTCTCTGTCTCTGCCGTGGTAGTGGTGGTAGCTGTGGTGATTGTGTACAGGATAGTGATCGGTGTGGTGTGTCCGTGGTGGTACATGCTGGTGATGCCTGTGCTGCCGATTGCGTTCATTGTGCTCCTGCTCGTAGTCGTCCTCGACTTGTGGCTGGCTGTTCCCACGGTGATGTTGATGGTGGTGATGGTGGTGATGGTGGTGGTTGCTGTTGTGATGGTGGTGGTTATGGCCTCGGTGGTTGTAGTAAGTCTCCTCCTCGTCCTCCTCCACCACATCCGCCAACTCGTCCTCCCTCTCCTCAGGCAGGTGCCTACGGGGAAGCCTCTGGCTATAGTCCCTGCTCGACTGTATATCCATACCGCCGGATGTTTGGCTGTGCTGGGTGTCTCTGTGGTGCTCCATCCGGCGGTGGTGGTGGTGATGGTGGTGGTGGTGGGTGTGCTGGGGTCTCTTTGGTTCGGTCCTCAGGAGTCGCTCCTCCTCCTCTCTTTGACCCTCCTCAGCCCTGTGCTCCTGAGCTGGGGCTGAAGGGGGCTCCTGGTCTAGGTGGTTCTCACGGGAGCCCTTCCTCTTGGGGGCAGCAGATTTCTTGTTTTTCTGCTCATCCTGAGCAAAAACGAAAGAACATAATGTTATATGACTGGTCATAACAATGCTTCTACATGCAGCACATCTTCAAATGTAAGCCCTCGAGAATTTATGGAGAGCTTAATGTGAAGTGTTGCTTATAGGCTATAAATTGCAGAAAAAATAAAGGTAATGAGGCTCAGAAATCTGGATTAACTACTTGGTGATCTGGTCAAAACTGTTGATTTGAGTAAGTTGAATAGAATTTTAGAGATAAACATAATGAGGTAAAGCAAGTTTTAAGGGTCCCATATAGTGAAAATCCTTTTTTTTGTGTTATATTGTTTTAAACTTATATGTGTAAGATATAAAAACGTTTCTTTCTGCCATTCCTCAAACTCCCCCACAACTAGATTGTTCCACGAGGTTCATTTACTTTCCGTAGCTGTTTCTGCTAACTCTAAAATGTCTCTGCCAACAGCAAAGCACACCAAATACTCTGCTGTTGGCTGCAAGAGTGAACACAAAAGTCTTTATGCACTCTCAGCATCTAAGGAACCAAGGTTCATTATTTATATTGTCAATGGAAATGTCACGACAAAAACAGGAATTCTTAGTTGTAAGGTTATCAATAGCTTTGATCGTATACCCACAGGAAAGAACAGGGATATTTAGAGATGTTGGAAACTTTAACAAATATTTGAAACCAATAAGCAGGAACAGGCTGTGGGTTACTGTGTTTTCGTGTTGTCTGTTGTGTTTCAGTGCGACCTAAGTTGTCCTACTGTTACATCTGTTTGTCTCTCTCCTGCTCTCTGTGCTCACATTTCCTGAGAAAGGACACAGTATGGGACCTCTAAAGCAAAACAGCTCACACTTAAATCACAATTACACTTTTCTATCCTGCGTGTCGATGCGTCTGCAGGGTTGCTACTCAAATATATTTACATTCTGCACAACAAGTTTTTTAGATTTTAACCTACAAGTAACCAAAACAACCTTCTCACAATAGACAGAGAAGCATAAACATTACACTTAGTTATGGTTGTCTAACTGCAATGTGTAAATCAGACCCTGTGATTGATGCTTCTCCAAGCAGTTTAGAGATAGAAAGCATTTAAAGAGTCTGGATGTGACATTAATACGTTTGTCTCAGATTCCTTTCCAGTCCTGTCAGTCTGGTTGACAAATACACAACTGGATTAAAGAAACTGATAATACTGTTTAAATCCTGTTCTGACACAGCTTCTTTCTCTTCTGAGTGAAGTTATATTTATACGCACTGTAAACATCTAAAAACTAAGCGAGGACTCAAGGAGCACAGTCCTCCACCAAGACCAATATCTTATCTCGTGGATTTAAAGAAAGTGATTCAGATATGTTTTTGTTTGTTTGTTTGTTTGTTTGTTTGTTTTTTAACTACACATTACCTGGCATATATATGTAGTGCCTGGCTTTGTCAGACAGAGAGTCTTTCCTGATTTTACTTGAGTTTTATTTATTAAAAAATGTGTTTACCTTTTCAACACTGTTTTGGTTTGCATCCACCAAATTTTCTTTTCTCATTTATTTTTGCTGCCTTGTGAAGCACTTTGTAATGTGGATTTTAAAAGGGGCTCTATAAAAAAAGACTATTATCATAATTGATTTCACTGGTTTCCAACAAGTTGTTTTATTTTAAAATATTCACACATGGAGCAAGTGTGCTCTGCCACACTGTATTCTATATAGAAAATGTTGTCTATATTTCTATATATATCTATATACACAATTATCTGTTTTGGACTGTAGACATAATACACACACGCACACACACACACACACACAGAGCATTTCTAGCTTACTTCTAAAGAATCCACAGCTGTAACTCATCTCTATAACTATGGTGACAAAGTGAAAATGGAGCTACAGTAGGATTCGAATGCATCCCACTCACCAGAGGTAGGCCTACCTCATTTCTGCAACTTTCCAGTGTAGTAGGATGAGAACACATGAAATGAAAATGTTAGATGAATTCATGGAAAGAAATATGGATGCAACACATGGTGAATAACATTCCTTCTGAGCTGACGAACTACATTTCAAGCAGTTTGGCTACATTCATATGAATTGGTTGAGATGAGATGAGATGAGATGGTGACGTTACATTTTATAATTTATTAGTTGGTTTGTTTGTTTAGGTTTTTGTTTTGTTGTCCTCGTGTGTCTGCGCTTTATGTACCGGTATTGCTGAAGGGTTGGCTGGCAGTGTGTTCTCAGCCAGATGGGCCACCAGTGCGTTGGCAGGCTCCATCTCTGGAGGATGAGTGGCTCTCCAGTAGGACTCCAGGTAATCAGCAATGTGCTCACAGGCATCTGTCAGCTGGTTCTCATCTAAGATCACATCAAACATTTCCTACAGGAAAATTAAGAGTAAGGGCAAGAATAAGTAAAAGATCAACAGCAGGCGACAAACAAAGGACAAGCCTGTGATCGAAACAGAAGATAAAATGCTGTCAGACTCCCTAAAAGCTATGATATATGGTAATCAGGAAAAAAAGATCATCTCAAAAAATGGCCACCTATGTGAACAGTAACATGAGCATTCAGTCATTTAGATTTTTATTTTTTTTCGCTGTAGCTGTTTAACCCTCTGATGTCCAACCAGTTTCTAGGTGTTGTTTGGTCCCATTACATTTTTCTTCACTGTGGGCTCATTTTTCACTGCGAGTTCCAACAGATGCTACTGGTACTGAGAAAAAGTGGTAGCTCTACATACGATACATATTTTACTACCTATGTTTTTGATTTGTTTCCTATCTGCTCCTGTGTAAACACAGCCTGTAGTTCAATCCATTTCAGCTTGTGATCCTTTGACTGCTAGCTGAATCACTAATGACTTCACAGCTGTGCCAAGGAGGCAGAATTTTTTTATTTTTTTACAGAATCTTTTTAGTGAAAACTGTTTATTTTGAAGAAATTTAAAATGAGGCACACAACATAAAGGGATATTGATACAATATTGCTGCTTTAGAATAAGTTTTGGCTACTTTTTCCAATGAAACCACAAGTCACACATCAGTAGTTGGTACAAAGGCCAAAATCTGATATTTTCTATTTTTTACATTTTACGATTTAGTTTGTTTTTGTTGTTGTTGTTTAAAGACAACACACCTTTCATACCTGCTGGTGGGTTTGGGGTTCAGAGGGTTAAATACAATTTCTGCATAACATAAAGATTTCAGTGCTGTTTCAAAGCCACATCACACTCCACATTTATATTTTCGTAGTGTTGTAAACACTCCCAGCTTGAAGAAGTCACCACTTCCCAAAAAACTACTTTGACAATGACCTCAGTATTTTGAGAAAGTCAGTTATTGCCAGGTAAAAAACTAAAAAAACAAAAAAGTTCTAACATTAACAATGCATGATTACAATTTTTCCATTCTTCTGTTAAAGATAAATGGTAGGATTCCTGCACAGTAAATGCCACTGCACCAATTTCTCACATTTACCAGTAGATGGCACTCACCGGTGGACATTGGGCGAGCTTATCTGCTGCCACAAGCTGAACATTGAGATGTTTGGTCTGAGATTTCCCTCTAGTTTTGATCAGTCTCGTCAACACCTACACGACATCAGTGAATAGAGGGAGGAGAAGGAAAGAAGCAGAGAAAGAGAGGAAAAAAGGCTTCAGTAGCTGTTTCACAGGATCATGTTACTTCAGTGTGTAGATAGGTAATCAGTTCCTTTCATGTAGCTGCACAGTTCTCTCTGGTGAAGCTTACTTTTGGTGAGGAGATCTTGACGTATACAAGGATTGGAGCCAGGGAGGTCTTGGACACCTGCATGGGGTGGTTGACTGTGTCTGCGTCTAAAACCACCAGCTGCAAGCTGCGGGCCAGCTCAAAGATACGCTCCACCTCCCCCTGGATCTGGGCTGCAAACGTAGACAGCAAAAGCAAGACTTTGATACCTCAGTTCCTGAGAAATTCAACGAGTGTGCATATATAGTTTTCATGTTAACATTTAAAACCAGATGCCACATCTTAAAGGTAATTTATGACAATGTATGTGGATTATCGATCCTTAAATGTAAATATTTACAGGTAGTTATTGTGGAACACCCTCATCACATTTTGGGTGATATATAAATAGAACTGTTTATATAATTCAAACAGTTTAATGTTTTTCAATTAGTGTGAGAGAAGCAGAAATGAATTGATTGTTGAGCTGAGATCTATTATTTTGAAGACCAGACCTTTACCTTCAAACAAGGGGTTTGGTTGGAAATAAACTATTATGTCATATATTTGTTTTGTAACTATAAAACAAACAAGAAGATTTAGAAATTTACTCTTTTTCTGCATCTTAAATACATGACTTTTTCAACCTTTTGTTAGCTTTTCTGGAGCTTTTAAGCACATTCATGACCTGTGTCAGGCTAGTCCAAGAAATGCTAACAAATGGTCATATTTTCATCTCTGCTATGTGATTTTAAACGCAGAAAACAAATGAGTGCAGTACGGAAAACACACAGACCTGTCAGTGACTCACATGACAAATGAAAAATGTCTTAACAGAATGTAACTGTGACAAGACTTTGTGAAAAAAACAGTGCCCACAAAATGACGCTATAAAGTGATGTATTTTTATTTCCTTGCGTAACTAATCCTTAAGGAGACTCTAGATTTGTTCCACTCACGAGAGGAGTAATTTAAAGACAGGCCACTAAAGAAATAGCAGGAAAGCAGGACAATGAGGATGCTGTAGCTGTTCCTGCCCTTTAATGAGTTACAGTGCTCAAAAATATCAACAAACCACTAACACAACACTGAATGACTGAGAGTCTTCACAGACAACACAAATAATTTTGTTTTCAACAACGATAAAGGACATGAGTCAATGGCTGTGTGTACTTATACATAAAAAGTGAAGGAACAGTGGAATGTGAGGTAATGAAAGGAAGGAGGTGCATTCAAGAACACAAGGACTACCAGTGCTTTCAGTCATACATACCGGCAGCATCTGGGATGAGACAGCAATGGGAAAGACAAGAGCAGAGAAAACCAAGTAAATCTCATCGTCCTGTTTGATACCAATTTTTTTTTTTTTTTCCCTAAACAATGGGGAGATTTTAGCTATGCTACTGTGCACTGTCACTGGAGCAAAGACGGCATGTTCCCAATAAATATTCAGTGAAGTACATTAACATGAGCGACACAGTTCACCAAGTTATGTCCATGTAAGATACCAACCTTTCTCTATCCAGATTTTGAAACAGTGGCTTTAGGCACTACTCTGACTTTTCTTGCAGAGAATTAGATAAAGATCACTACAATGTCAAATCTGTATCCTGAATAAACTCGGGGCGCAAGGTGGAGCGGTGATTAGCACCGTTGCTTCGCAGCTAAAAGGTCGCCGGTTCCGGGTTTAGGGTTGGGGTTCTGCCAGTTAGGACGCCCCAAATCTTTCTGCATGATGTTTGCATATTCTCTCTGTGCAGCGTGGGTTCTCCGGCTTCCTCCCACAGCCAAAGACATGCTGAGGTTAATTGGTGATTCTAAACTGTCCGTAGGTGTGAATGTGAGTGTGCTTGGTTGTCTGTCTCTAACTGTAGCCCTGTGATAGACTGGTGACCTGTCCAGGGTG